TTAATATATAATGTACGAAACTATAAATTACTTACGTAACCACCGAAGGTTTGATGAAACACATATGATCCACTTTTTGATTTCTTTTTGGGAACGGTCCCAAAAAAACCGCTAGTTTTTTCTCCGAGAACTCTTAAGTACAGCTTAATCTCGTATAACATCGTACGATACTACACCAGCTTTTCAAATACGTTATTTTTTATATACATTTTTCTATATGTACTTTCCTTTATATTCATTGTATACGTCCTTCCAGTATATCCTTTTGTTGTGCGTCCTTTTCTGTACGTCGTTCTCTTTTACGTCCTTTTCCTACATATCTTCTGCGAAGAATCAGTTACTGTGTGAGTGTGAGTGTTAGTCTATACTTCTCTCTGTTGCACCCACACCCACACCCCACCCACACCCACACCCACACCCACACCCACACCCACACACCCACACCCACACCCACACCCTTCTTCAGGATTGCTACTAAAAATCCATACAGATCACTGAGCCTATCTAGCACAGTTATAGGTCAAAAAGAGCGCATATCTGCCTTGTTTTTACCTAAACTGTCAATAAGAAAGTGTACGTTTTGAGCAGGAAATGCATTTATTGAAATATACCTCCCATTCTTACTGTATGATAGAAAAATCTATTAATGACTGTATTATCAATAAAATGAATATATGGATTAGCCAAGAGGAAGAATCAAATGAGCCACCATCTAAAAACAATGTTATTCAATTCAAATAAAACATATTTTTAAATTTATGTTTTGATTTTTCTCAGATATCTAGACTTTTTAATAAACCCACGTAGTTGATTACAATTAGCCAGATACATTTGTATTGGATTTGAATTAGATTCGTAAACCTTGGTAGAGCAGGAGCCACGATCTTTCGATCAATTTTATCATTATGAAAGCGCCAAATACTGAATATATTCAAACACACTTGAAAAAACATAGACTACATAGTCTGATAATGCCAAAACCTATTGATTATATCCATAGATTTATCTGGTAACTAACACTCAGTAAATCATCGATTTAGAATAACAATCACTATAGCAATCTTATTCTTTTGATGAATACAGTAAAAATCTTATTGAGATCTTTCTCAAGCTCACAAACTTGTTCTTTTTTTGACTATTTTTTTTTTGTTATTTATTCTAAATAGAATAAGAAAAAATATTTTATTGATTAAAATAATCAGTATTAAAACCATCTTGGACAGCATCTGGTTCTTCAACTGCTTTCACACGTTTAACAGAAACATTATTAAATCTTCGTATCTTTCTTCCATTGCCAATACGTTCTCCACCGTTTTTTGTTAATTCAGCAAATTCTACATATTCTTCTGTTGATTGTCCTCTTGGTCTTTCAATAATTTTTTCATCAACGCCATATTGCCGTTTTTGTTCAATGACACGACTTGGATATTGTTCGTCATCATATTGATGATGATTTTCTGGTAGTCGAATAATCGTTCTTGATGCAACATCGATTGCATTGTTTTTTTGCTGTGGTATTGTTTGATCGATTTCATTTGGCAATGTTTGTATAAGACGATCAATCATTTTTGGTTTTTGGAATGGACGATAAGATAAACCTCCATACACATTCTTAGCTGGCCAAACTCCACGTTGATAATCTCTTGGCCGTAAAGGAGCCATTGTTGTTTTAGTGTTGGTTTGCTTATCTTCAACTTGAACAGCATCTTCATTTATTGAGAAAGGTGAAATATTTTGAACCGTTCCATATGGTAGGGAAGATATATCGTACGATCGATTATAATTATTTGCGTTTCCGAAATCATTTTGTTGATTATATTCGGGGGTTGTTAAACTATTTTTATTGTCATTATTAGCAATCCGACCATATTTGTAGCAATAAATAAATACACATAATGTTATAAGTATTGTCATTAACATTACAGAACAGACAACTATACCTAACATTTTCCATTGTGAATTTGTATTTGGATCTAAATTAAATAAATATAAAAGTTTGAAGAAAAAAAAGATTTATGAACTTACCTTGAACATATAAAATAATTGAAATAATAAGACCACCGATTGCCGCAACACTGAGTATTATCATTGTTCCAAATAGAATTCCACCAGTTAAACGTGTTAAACCAAAACATAATGGTTGCCAACAACATGAAGTCTAAAAAAATAAACATTTAGATTTAATTAGGAACATGTTTATACTCTAACGGATTTATTATTTTGTCTAAGATCATCATCACGATAAACACTTTCTGAAAAACAGTTGATTATTAAGTTTATGAAAAAAGAATACAATCAATTTCACCCATATATTTTTGTTGTGGATAATATGATAGATTTGAATTATAAGGATAGATTGTATTGAATGCTGGTTGTTTTAGTGAATGCATTTGTGATGGTTGAATAAGTGCTTTTGTTGATTGTATTGATGACGGAGTTCGAAAAGCTTTTAAAAAAACTAGTTTAATTAAAAACTCTAAATTAAATAACATACAATTATTTGGTTGTGAATACTTATTATAATCTGGTTGTTGCGGCGCAATTCGATTGTTTTTGAATGAATTACTATAACCGAGCG